GCACTCCAGCCTGAATGACGGAGCAAGACCCTGTTTTAAAAACAAACAAACAAAAAAACAACAAAAACAAAAAGGAATGTGGGCTCTGCAGTCTGCTTTCAAGGTTTAAATCCTGGCTCTTTCCTTTCCACCTGTGGGACTTTGGGCAAATTACTAAACCTTCCCAATCGTCAGGTTCCTCACCTTGGGAGTGGGGTTGATAAATTAAAAACAGTACCTGTGACTGGGAGTGATGGCTCACACCTTTATTCCCTACATTTGGGGAGGTTGAGGCAGGTGAATCGCTTGATGTCAGGAGTTCGAGACCAACCTGACCAACATGATGAAACCCGATCTCTACTAAAAATACAAAAATTAGCCGGGTGTGGTGGCGGGCACCTGTAATCCCAGCTATTCAGGAGGCTGAGGCAGGAGAATTGCTTGAACCTGGGAGGCAGAGGTGGCAGCAAACTGAGATTGTGCCACTGCACTCCAGCCTGGGAGACAGAGCAAGACTCTGTCTCAAACAAAACAAAACAAAAAACAAACCAAAAAGTATACCTGTGTCGCAGGGTTTGTGCAGATGGAATAGATACTGCATTCAACCCAGAGCTCGGCCCCATAGCATGGACACTGGAGACAACAGTAAACCAAAGGGGCAAAGGTCACTAGTCCCTTCCACCTGCCATCTTCCCCTTCACCTTCCCAAGGTACCAGGATAGATGATTTCTCTATGAAGCCCTTCTTGGCCCCCTTCTCTAAACTCTGATAGCACTTCACTTGCTCTCCTCTTTTATTTAATATAACGAATGCTATGTGACTGTGCTAATGCCTTTAAAATATCTACTCATTTATTCCTCACAAAAACCCTTGGGGGAAGCACTAATATCATTTCCATTTTACAGATGAGAAAATGTGCAAAGTAACTTGCCCAAGGCCATGTGCCTGCAGCTAGCAGAGCTGGTGTGTGAACCTTAGCTGTCCACCCTCATCTATTATGCCTCTTTCATGCCTCTTAAAATGTTGAATCTTGGATTGGGTTTTTAAAATTGTCCTATCAGTATTCCCTGGATACACAGACGGTTCCTCAGCAGCAGGGCCTGAGTGATCCTCTCCAGTACATGTTTATTAATGATTAAATCACATTGTTGGCCAGGCACAGTGGCTCACACCTGTAATGCCAGAACTTTGGGAGGCCAAGGTGGGCAGATCACTTGAGGTCAGGAGTTCGAGACCAGACTGGCCAACATGGCAAAACTCAGTCTCTACTAAAAATTCAAAAATTAGCTGGGGGGTGGTTGCGGGTGCCTATAGTCCTAGCTACTCAGGAAACTGAAGCAGGAGAATTGCTTGAACTCGGGAGACGGAGGTTGCAGTGAGGTGAGATGGCACCATTGCACTCCAGCCTGGGCAGCAAGAGCGAAACTCGATCTCAAAAAGAACAAAAAACAAACAAACAAACTGCAGGCTGGTGTAATGGTACCTCATGCCTGTAATCGTAATCCCAGCACTTTGGGAGCCAGAGGATCACTTGAGCCCAGGAGTTCAAGGCCAGCCTGGGCAAGATAGTGAGACCTTGTCTCTACAAAGAAAACAACCCTGCAGTATGAGGGAGAAGAGGAGATATGAGAGTGTGGTTGACGTCATCTCATGAGTCAGCTGGGGAAAAGGTGCTGAGGCTGAACTTCATCAAATCCACTCGCTGGGTGGTCAGAGGTACGGAAGTTCTGGGTTCTTGCCCTACCTCTCTACTTCTAGAAAGCAGTGTGACTTCAGGAAGTTCTCTTCATCTCCAAAAGGTTCAGTTTTCTGAGCTTTTTAGATCTATTAAATCACTGGAATAGGCTACAGTATGTAATGTTTTTAGTCCCTATTTCTTCTAACTTTTTCTGTTTTTATTTTATTTTCTTTTTTTTGAGACAGCATCTTGCTATGTTGCCTAGGCTGGTCTCGAATCCCTAGGCACAAAGTGATCTTCCTACCTTGGCCTCCCAAAGTGCTGAGATTACAGGCATAAGCCACCATGCCAGGCCTTTTTCTAATTTTTATAAAAATTGAAATAAGTCTCTCTCCTCCTGCTGCCCAAGATGCCAAAGGGAAAGAAGGCCAAGGGGGAGAAGGTGGCTCCGGCCCCTGCTGTCGTGAAGAAGCAGGAGGCCAAGAAAGTGGTGAACCCCCTGTTTGAGAAAAGGCCTAAGAATTTTGGCATTGGACAGGAAATCCAGCCCAAAGAGACCTCACCCGATTTGTGAAATGGCTCTGCCATATCAGGTTGCAGCGGCCGAGAACCATCCTCTATAAGCAGCTGAAAGTACCTCTTGCAATTAACCAGTTCACCCAGGCCCTTGACCGCCAAGCAGCTACTCAGCTGCTTAAGCTGACCCACAAGTACAGACCAGAAACAAAGCAAGAGAAGAAGCAGAGGCTGTTGGCCTGGGCCAAGAAGAAAGCTGCTGGCAAAGGGGACGTCCCCTCTAAGAGACCACCTGTCCTTTGAGCAGGAGCTAACACCATCATCACTTTGGTGGAGAACAAGAAAGCTCAGCTGGTGGTGACTGCACACGACGTGGATTCCATTGAGCTGGTTTTCTTTTGACCTGCCCTGTGTCATAAAATGGGAGTCCCTTACTGAATTATCAAGGGGAAGGCAAAACTGGGTCGTCTAGTCCACAGAAGACCTGCACCACTGTCGCCTTCACACAGTTAACTTGGAAGACAAAGGTGCTTTGGCTAAGCTGATAGAAGCTATCAGGACCAATTGCAATGACAGATACGATGAGATCCACTGTCACTGGGGAGGCAATGTCCTGGGTCCCAAGCCTGTGGCTTGCATTGCCAAGCTCGAAAAGGCAAAGGCTAAAGAACTTGCCACTAAACTGGCTTATATTTGTGCTGTTGAGTTTTCTGTACATAAAAATAATTAATACAATACAAATTTTCCTTCAAAAAAATTGAGATGAAATTCACCTAATATAAAATTATTTTAAAGTTTACAATTCAGTGACATTTAGCTAATTCATAATGTTATACCCACCTCTGTCTAGTTCCAAAATATTTTCATCACCACATAAGAAAATCCTGTACCAATTAAATAGTCAGTCCCGTCTGGGCGCATTGGCTCACGCCTGTAATCCCAGCACTGTGGAAGGCCAAGGCAGGCAGATCACTTGAGGTCAGGAGTTCAAGACCAGCCTGGCCAACATGGCGAAACCCCGTCTCTACTAAAAAATACAAAAAAATTAGTTGGGCGTGGTGGTCACACCTGTAGTCCCAACTACTCGGAAGGCTGAGGCAGGAGAATTGCTTGAATTGGGGAGGCAGAGGTTGCAGTGAGCTGAGATCCCACCACTGCACTTCATCCTGGGCAACAGGGGGAGACCCTGTCTCAAAAATAAATAAAATAAAAAATAAAGTCCCCATCCCAGCTCCTACCGGTACCTAACAATTGCTGATTTACTTTCTGTCCCGTTGGAATTAACTATCTTAGATGTCTCATAGAAAAGGAAACACACCATTTGTTCCTTTCTGTCTGGCTTCCTTCGCTTGGCTGATGTTTTCAAAGTTCATCTGTGTTGTAGCATGTATCAGTACTTCATTCCTTTTATGGCTGAATAATATTCCATTGTGAACTACAGCACAATTTTTTTTTTTTTTAAGACAGAGTTTTACTCTTGTTGCTCAGGCTGGAGTGCAGTGATTCGATCTAGGCTCACTGCAACCTTTGCCTCCCAGATTCAAGCAATTCTTCCACCTCAGCCTCCCAAGTAGCTGGCACTACAGGCATGCGCAATCATGCTTGGCTAATTTTGTATTTTTTTTTTTGGTAGAGACAGGGTTTTGTCATGTTTTGTCATGTTGGTCAGACTGGTTTTGAACTCCTGACCTCAGGTGATCCTCCTACCTTGGCTTCCCAAAGTGCTGGGATTACAGGTGTGAGCCACTGCGCCTGGCCTACAGTACAATTTTGAGCTCCAAAATTATAATCTCCTTTTTTTTTTCAATCATCTGCTAAACACAGACATCATTAAACAAACACAAAGAAGGAGGAAAATGAAATAGTCGAAACACAAGTGTCTCTGCACATCCAAGGCTGTCCTTTCCACAGCTGGGAACTGGTACCCAGGGTGGCACCTAGCAGTACCTGAGATGGTTTTAAAAAATATACTGGGCCAGGTGCGGTGGCTCATGCCTGTAATCCCAGCACTTCGGGAGGCCAAGGTGGGTGGATCACTTGAGGTCAGGAGTTTGAGACCAGCCTGGCCAACATGGTGAAACCCCATCCCTACTGAAAATACAAAAACTTAACTGAGTGTGGTGTCAGGCGCCTGTAATCCCAGCTACTCGGGAAGCTGAGGCAGGAAAATCACTTGAACCCGAGAGGCAGAGGCTGCAGTGAGCTGAGATCACACCATTGCACTCTAGCCTGGGCGACAGAGTGAGACCCTGTCTCAAAAAAGAAAAGAAAATACCAATTCCAATATAGCAATTTGTCACACTTACTGTAAGGCCACTGTGTGATTTTTATCTGTTAAACATGTTTGCTTCAAAGTACTATGGTCACCACTGAACACTTGGCTTTATTAATTGACAAAAAACAAATTTTAAATTTGTCCCAATATGGGGAAGAGAGGCCAAAATGGAAGACCACATACACTTCCAGTGGTTTTCAGGCCAACAGAGCTTTGATGTGTCTAGCCCACTTACCTTATTAACGGACTAAAACTGCATTAGTAATTAATTCCATTTCATACAGAAGCCAGAAATCTCTACCTGAGGCTGAAATAAGAAAGGGATCCTTTCACAGAAATAGCAGAAACAGTAATCCACACAAGGTTAACAAAACAGTGGGAAATATGGAAATAAATACCTAATTCCCCGCCTGGATTCGTTCTTTTTTAGGTTGGGGCGACGGTAGGAAAACTACGTGTCAATTGCGCAAACATTCAGCCTAAAGAGAATTTCTCCCTCAGGGTCCCCAAGAAACAGGGAGCGGAGGCTCATCCTGCCCTGCCCCGCCCGCAGATGTCCCACCCACCACCCGTAGGCCCCGCCCCTACGTCTCTCCCCGCCCCGCGGCGCCAGCGTGCACTGAAGATGGCGGCTGCTGTGCGAAGGTTGCTTCGGTCGTCGGTGAGTGGCTGTCGGCTGGGGACACGCGTGGAGACACTGTGGTGGCTCCGGGAACGTGCCTCCCAGACAGGATCCCGCGTCTCTGGGCATGAGGGCCATTTGCTCTTCTTGGAGGGTTTCCGCGGGTAACGGACCCTGAGGCCGCCTCCCCCGAGGAAGGTTCCATGCGCCTGCGCGGAACCGCCTTATCCTCCCCAAACCCCCTTGTTCGTTGTCTCCTCGAGTCCCTCCTTGCTCGGCGTCCGCACTCCCCAGGCCCGTCTCCACTTAAAGTCCTTGCCCTGCTTCTGCCACCGACCCTATGAACCTTGGGCGAGTGCCTTCGCTGTTCTCAGCCTGTGTACTTAAGATGGAAAGAATACCTACGTCAAGGCATTACTATGAGCAGCCGCTTAAATACTGGATAAAAAGGCGCAAAGTGCTAAAATCACAAAGGCGTTCCCTGTTAACCCCGCTCCCGCGTTTCTGCTGCTGTTTCCTGCTTTCCTGTGGGCAGTGCCTCGTGCTCTCTTGGTACACGGCTTTCTTGTAGTGGGGTTCAGTACAGCCACTTTCTCTTTCCGAGTCATTTTGGACATTATAAAGTTGAGCAAACCGGCAGAGTGCGGTGGCTCACCCCTGTAATTCCAGCACTTTGGAGTCGGAGGCAGGCAGATCACTTGAGCCCAGGAGTTTGAGACCAGCCTGGACAATATTAGAGTGAGACACTGTCTCTACAAAAAAAATAAAATAGCTGGGCGTGGTGGTGCGCGCCTGTGGTCGGAGCCACTGGGGAGGCTGAGGTGGGAGGATCACTTGAGCCCAGGAGGTCCACACTGCAGCGAGCCAAGATCGCGTCACTGCATTCCAGTCTGGGTAAAAGAGCAAGACTGTTTCAAAAACAAACAAACAAACAAAAAAAGTTGAGTAAATATTTCCCTTGAGCCTTTTCCAGACTCCCAGAGGCTGAACTTGGCTCTGCTTGTTCACTGGTCGCTGGTACTGGAGGGGCCTTCTTTTTTTCTAAGGAAAACCTTGACATGGTAGAACATTCCCAGCAGATAGTTCTGGGAAAGGCCGGGCCAAGTCCCCTGGCTTTTGAACCCTGTGTTGCTTTTAAGCGCATGGAGTTTCTGCTTCTTCAATCTTTGTGTTCTTATAGTTCCCCTCCACCTTCCAGTCTCCTAGGAGAAGGGAGTGTTAAAAACATGGAGACCCAATCCATACTTTTAGAGTTTGGGGTTTTCTGTTTGATTCACAGGAACAGGGACAGCTGAAACCACCTTTGGCACGATGCACATTCAGCCTTCATTCACTAATCCAGAAAAACTTTCTAATACAAAGTTTATCTTTCCAGGTTGCCCGACATGTGAGTTCCCTTCCTTGGGGCATTTCTGCCACTGCAGCCCTCAGGCCTGCTGTATGTGGAAGAACGAGCTTGACAAACATATTGTGTTCTGGTTCCGGTCAAGCAAAATTCTTCAGCAGTAGTAAGTGTTAATGTCTTGTCTTGGCTGGAGCAAGGTAAAAGAAACATAAACCATCGTCTCCGGACAGGGGCTCTGAACCCAGGCCATGTGTTAGACTCACCTGGGGAGCTTTCAGAAACAACACTGCCCAGTCCCACCTCAGACAAACTAAGTCAGTCTCTGGGATGAGACCAGGACACGAAGCTTTTTTTTAATGCTCACTTGCTAATTCTAATATGCAGCCAGGGTTGAGAAGCACTGAGGCAAACTGCCCTTGTCACATTTCCATGTTGCTTGCCAGAGCTTTTAATCCACTGTTAAGGATGGGGTTACTGGGAGCTCATGCTTTCTGGGTCTGCTGTGTCTGAAGGGGTGTGAATGGTGGGCAGCCTGTGGGGACCTAAGAGTGCAGCTGTGCTAAGATTCAAATCTGTATGCTGGCTTCAGGTGACCACTTAGGAACCAGGCCTGTCTAATGGTATCTTCTGTAATCTGAGTGAAATTTAGCTGTTTCTTGAGATTTACATTCCATTCTCTAGGATATGGGCTTTGCTAAGACCAGCCTCAGATAATGAGTGGTCTTTGAAAATACCTTGTCTAGATTTAACTGGCCTTTGAAAAAGCACGTATTTAACATGTAGTGGTTTGCAGGGGATGTACTGTAGTAAAGGCTTTGTGGGCAAAGAGTTCTAAGAGGTTTCACAATTTTACTGTCCTGGAGCTTTAAAGTATTTCTAGTAGTGATGTGATACCACAGGCTTAAAACTTCTCTCCACTGGTTTCAAATCCCCATCCCCAGCAGCTCCTCCTGTTTCTGTTTGTGCCTGTTTCTCAGGCATTTTGTCATTGGATCTGCTCTGTCCTTCACTCCCAGGTAGAAGCAAGTTCTTTTCAGTTTTGACACATCTCTTGCATCCATTCCTTTCTGTTCCTTCTGTCACATCCCTCCCCTCAATACTTCTCACTAAGATCACTGAAATCGAGGCTGGGTGCAGTGGCTCACGCCTGTAATCCCAGCTCTTTCGGAGGCCAAGGCAGGCAGATCACTTGAGGTCAAGAGTTCAAGACCAGTCAGGCCAACATGGTGAAATCCCATCTCTACTAAAAATGCTTTAAAAAAAATTAGCCAGGTGTCATGTTGCGTTCCTAGAATCCCAGCTACTCAGGAGGCTGAAGCAGAAGAATCACTTGAACCTGGGAGGTGAAGGTTACAGTGAGCTGAGATTGCACTCCAGCCTGGGCGACAGACCGAGACTCTGTCTCAAAAAAATCACTGAAACCACCTCCTAACATGTCTCCTCCTTCCTCCTGCTTCTCTTTCCCTCCTGCCAAACTAATCTTTCTAAAAACCACCATCTCTCTTATATCTACTACATAAAAAGCTCTTGTGACTCTGTTACAATCTTTTCTGTTAAGCAGACCTGGCCAGGCACGGTGGCTGACCTCTGTAATTTTAGCACTTTGGGAGGCCAAGGCAGGTGGATCACGAGGTCGAGAGATCGAGACCATCCTGGCCAACATAGTGAAACCCCATCTCTACTAAAAATACAAAAATTAGCTGGGCGTGGTGGCGCACACCTGTAGTCCAAGCTACTCAGGGAGGCTGGAGAATCGCTTGAACCTGGGAGACAGAGGTTGCAGTGACCTGAGATCTCACCACCGTACTCCAGCCTGGCAACAAAGCAAGTCTGTCTCCAAAAAAAAAAAAAAACCCAGCAGCCTAGTGTTGAAGGATTCTTGCAGCCTGGCCTTCAACCATTCCTGCCTGCTGTGTCTCCAGCTCTGCTCTCTGTACCCTTAAACGCTTTCTGTTCTTGTTAGACTGTGCCACAGGCTGCTCCAAACACATGCCCTGTTCTTCCTTCCTGCTATTTCCTCCATGCCATCTGCCCCATCCCATCTAGACTTGACAAAATCTGAACCATATTTTAAATCCCTCTTTAGTCTCATGTCTTCCTTAATTCCATCCCTACTATCTTTGTCTTTCTCTCTTTGGTTTCCATAGCACGTGGAATTGAATTTGTGCACAATATAAAACTACAGAAGGAGAAATTACAGTCGGTCCTCTTTATCTGGGTGCTGCATCTGTGGTTGGTTGAATCAAAAATATCTGGGGGGGCCAGGCGCCGTGGCTCACGCCTGTAATCCAAGCACTTTAGAGGCCAAGGCGGGTGGGTCACCTGAGGTTGGAAGTTCAAGACCAGCCTGACCAACATGATGAAACCCCGTCTTAAAAATATATATATATATATATATATATATATATTATATATTTGGGAGTGGAGGGAATGGATGGTTATGTCTCTACGGAACACATAGACTTTTTTCTTGTCATTCCCTAAACAATACAGTTTAACAGCTATTGACATAGCATTTACATCGTGTTAGGTATTATGAGTAATCTAGAGATGATTTAAGTATACTGGAGGGTGTGTGTAGATTATATGCAAGTTACCATTTTATGTAAGAGACTTGAGCACCTGTGGATTTCCATATCCTAGAACCAATCCCCTACAGTTGGCAAAGTATGACTCTAAAATGTACAGTTGAATTGAATGTTTTGATTTATACTACTAAGCAGTTTATACTACTAATTATGAGACTTTTAAATAAAATTATAGGTGCTTGACGTAGCAAATGATGAACTACATATGAGTGTGGGTTTTTTTCAGGTTCCTCATACCATGCCCCTGCTGTCACCCAGCATGCGCCCTATTTTAAGGGAACAGCCGTTGTCAATGGAGAGTTCAAAGACCTAAGCCTTGATGACTTTAAGGGGAAATATTTGGTGCTTTTCTTCTATCCTTTGGATTTGTAAGTGTAATTTCTATGATGCTTTTGTGTCATTCTGAGAGCGAGCACATATCCTGTTTCCACACTGAATTGTCTAGCCCTAGATACTCTTGTTAAGGAAGAATACTTCCTGACCCTTTACCACCGATGGCCTTGTTGATTACAGCTTGGATCTGTAGCGCGTTTACAAGTGATAAACTTCAGGGGTGGGTTAGGGCAGCTTTCCTTTTTGCATGACTCTGTCTCTGGAACAGTGCTTCTCTAAGCCAGTCCATGAAAAAGTTTCCACTGGTCTGGGGAAAAATGAGAAAAGTAGGCATAATAAAATGAGTTTGTTCATAAAGCAGCTTTATTGAACTATTATTTGTTTTTCTTAAAATGTGTGTTCCCTTTCTCCAGTTTTTGATACAGTTCCTAAAATAAAAAGGCAAGGGGAGGTCGTAGTACTTTTGCCAGCACAATGCTGTAGTCCAGTGAGGACAGTTAACCATTTTGCCTTTTTTACCCTTGGCAAGTTGAACTAATTTTAGACTACTAATTGTTAAAATCCATGTTTTTAAATTCTCTAATGAGAATTTCTACCCTTTTTTTCCAGCACCTTTGTGTGTCCTACAGAAATTATTGCTTTTAGTGACAAAGTTAACGAATTTCACGACGTGAACTGTGAAGTTGTTGCAGTCTCAGTGGATTCCCACTTTAGCCATCTTGCCTGGATAAATACACCAAGAAAGGTATAGCATTGTTCCCCTAGCTTTTGCTCTTAGAAACTTACTTGGAAGAATCTAAATTTCTGGCTGTGCTGCTGTACTATCAAGATCAAATTACTCAAGGTTTTTTTTGTTTGTTTGTTTTGAGACAGAGTTTCACTCTTGTTGCCCAGGCTGGAGTGCATTGGCACAGTCTCGGCTCACTGCAACCCTCACCTCCTGGGTTCAAGCAATTCTCCTGCCTCAGCCTCCCGAGTAGCTGGGATTACAGGCATACACCACCACCCCCAGCTAATTTTGTATTTTTAGTAGAGACAGGGTTCTCTGTGTTGGTCAGGCTGGTCTTGAACTCCCGACCTCAGGTGATCCACATGACTCGGCCTCCCAAAGTTCTAGGATTACAGGTTTAAGTCACCAGGCCCAGCCTACTCAAGGCATTTTTTTAATTCTCCATGTTTATGTTTGAGAACTTAGTCTTTAAAAGAATGCTCTAAGAATTAGAAAAGACACCTGTAGTCCCAGCTACTCAGGAGGCTGAGGCAGGGTGACTGCATGAGCCCAGGAGTTTGAGGCTACAGTGAGCTGTCATGGCATTCTAGCCTGGTGATAGAGTGAGACTCTGTGTCTTTAAAAAAAAAAATTGAAAAGCTCCGTAAGCCAGGTTTAAATCTTCCTTCTACCCCTTTCTAGCTGTGACCTGGAACAAGTTACTTTTTTGTGCCTTAGTTTCCTCATTTTGATAGTATGTACTCCAGGGTGGTTTCAAGGAAGCAGTAAGTTAATAGAATAGCAGTACTGGGCCCAGTACTGTTACCTATTGCCATTATTGTTGGTCTAAACATTGTGGTACACGGTCAAGAATGTTGTGAGACCACACAGTCTAACATTCAGTCATGTTTGCCTTTTTACTAGAATGGTGGTTTGGGCCACATGAACATCGCACTCTTGTCAGATTTAACTAAGCAAATTTCCCGAGACTACGGTGTGCTGTTAGAAGGTCCTGGTCTTGCACTAAGGTAAGATCCTGTTTCTGATGAACTTAAGATTATTTTTCATGTTTAGTATCATTCTACTTCTTAGGGGATTTATGTGAACTTTGGTAAAGCATGTTTCAAACCAGAAGATCCTGGCTGGGCATGGTGGGTCACACCTGTAATCCTAGCACTTTGGGAGGCCAAGGCAGGAAGATCACTTGAGCTCAGAAGTTCAAGATCAGCCTGGGCAACATAGTGAGACCTCATCTCTATTATATTTAAAAAATTAAAATTTATAACAAAATCAAAAAATCCTTAATTTTAGTCTTTAATAAGCACTGATGAAATGCCTCCTGCAAGGGTTGTTGGTCTCTCAGAAATGCTGAGACATGCATGTCCCCTCCACCACCCTGGGTCTCTTTCTGAAGAAGGCTGCCTGCATCTTGAGGCCATACTGCTCCATACTCCCTAACTCGGTGGGAGCCACTTCCATGCGGACACAATCCTGACAGTGAAACCATCAGACTGTTTGGAGAAGCGGGGACTAGCAGGGTAAGAGGTAGTCTCTTGGAATGGTGACCGTCTTCATCCCTGGAACCAGAGTCCTGGGTTTGATTTTTTTTTTTTTTTTTTTTTTCTTTTTTAAACTCAGCTACTTAATAGCTGTGTGATTTCGGGCGAGTGCTTTAACCTTGTTGAGCCCCAGTTTTCCCATAACTAAAATGAGGATGTACCTCACAGGTGGGTGTGAGGATTAAATAATTGACACAGCTAGAGTTTTTAGCATAGTTCCTGGCAGCAGCTGTTAGGACTTATGTCCCAGAATGTCATTTCTATCTGTATTCAGTCTCTTATTAAACCTTTATTCCTTTGAGTGAAAAGCTTTCAGTCCTCAGCAGCCCCACATTCAAACATAACCTTCCTGGGACAGATGAGAACTTGGGCCTTAGAGTTGACGTCTTGAAGTCTGCTGAGAATAGGAATGAAGGAGGGGTTGTGCAGAACTTGACATCCAGGAAGGGAGGACCTCCCTTTGATGTGCCTCACAGTTTTTCTGGGGCCTGGTTAGCTTGAGGCAGGAGTGCAGTGGCACAATCTCAGCTCACTGCAGCCTTTGCCTCCTAGGTTCAAGCTGGTTCTCATGCCTCAGCCTCCTGAGTAGCTGGGATTTCAGGCACATGCCACCACACCCAGCCAATTTTTATATTCTTAGTAAAGATGGGGTTTCACCATTTTGGCCAGGCTGGTCTCAAACTCTTGACCTTGTGATCCACCCACCTTGGCTTCCCAAAGTGCTGGGATTACAGGCATGAGCCACTGCACCCAGCAGGCCTTTTTTTTTTTTTTTTTAAAAACTTTAAAGAGATTATCAAAAAGCCTAGCTCTTTCAGAGTTGGCAATGGCCAGAGAAAGGGTACTGGCTACTTTTCCCCTGGGGTTCCCTTCCCTATGAGAACTCACTAATTTTGCATTTACCTCTGTACCGGTTTTAATATCGAGATTAGCAAGAGAGAGAAGCTGAGTCTGGTTTATATGTCAGCCGTGCTGTGTCCCAGCTCTCCCTCTGTTTCTGTTGGTGGACTTCAGCTGGCTGCAACCTCAGGGAGCAGTTTCACCTCAAACCTGAGGCCCCCAATACCAGACTCAGGGATGGAGAAGCACGTTTTTACCCTGAGTTTTCTCTAGCTTTCCTTTCCCAGGAAAGGAAAGCTAGAGTGAGTGACACCAGGAATTCCCACATCCTTTTAAGACAGACTGTTAAAACCTTTAGGTTAAATAGCTGTATACGTGCAGTCACAGCTACTTGGGAGTCGAAGGTGGGAGGATCATTTGAGCCAGAAGTTGGAGGCTGCAGCCTGCTGTGATCACAACTGAGAATACCAGTGCACTCCAGTGTGGGCAATAGAGTGAGACTCTGTGTTTAAAACAAACTCACTCCCAGGCTAAACATACCTGCATCTGTCACAGTAACACCAACACAGAAGATAAACACAGACCACTGTGGTAGCATGGTCATCTCATTACATGCTACTACATAATTAAAAGTGATGGGCATGGTTTTCTGTTCTGCATAGACTTACAGCCTGTACATTTTTTGTACAAAGATTTTTTTCCCATGGGATTTCCCCCCATTTACCCAATAATTCATTAATAATACACAGTTATCGAACACAGATAAAATACCTCTCTGCCTCTTCCCATCTGCCTATGAGTTTCTTGCCAAGATGTGATACAGCAGCTCAAACAATGCTTGCCAAGTCACTAATAAAGTCTTCGCTCTCTCTAGTTCAGTGACTTCCCAATACTGTTGACATTCAGGGAAGTGTATGAATTTATAAATGTGACTGCATGTTTTGTATGGTGACCTGGTCCAGTCCTGCTGTTGTTAAAGCATCTGTCATCGGCAAGAGACAATAAGCTTTTTGCACAACAGTGAAACCCCACCTTTAAGCATATGATCATGCTTAACAAATATTAAAAGGAGAATTAAAGACCTAAAAGGGAAGAGTTGGGACTGTTCTAGTTCTGGTACTGTTGAGGCACTAATGAGGATAAATTATCTTGCAGAGGTCTCTTCATAATTGACCCCAATGGAGTCATCAAGCACTTGAGTGTCAATGATCTCCCAGTGGGCCGAAGCGTGGAAGAAACCCTCCGCCTGGTGAAGGCATTCCAGTATGTAGAAACCCATGGAGAAGTCTGCCCAGCGAACTGGACACCGGATTCTCCTACAGTAGGTTTTGTTCCCCAAAAGCAGTGAGGTCCATGTTGTCTCGCCTCAAGAGCTACTGACCTGTAATACCCACAAAAGGGAGCCCTCCCTTGGAGCAAGCGTGCAGATGATGTGCAAACGAGTGAAGCTGCTGTGGGGCAGAAGGCGTGAGGGTGGGGAGGAGCCAGGAACCAATGAGCAGGGACAGGCAAGGACAGCCAGGAACAAATGATCAGGGACAGGTAGGCTTTAATGAAACTTGTGTCTATATGTTTTAAAGGAAATAAATCTTTAAAAGTTTAAAGAACTTTAGGTTAAAAATTGGGAGATTGCCACTCATTTTGGGAATATTATTGTAAAGTCACAGTTACCTAATGAAATGTTTTTATATTTTCAGATCAAGCCAAGTCCAGATGCTTCCAAAGAGTACTTTCAGAAGGTAAATCAGTAGATCACTCGTGTGTCTGCACCTTCTCACCCCAGAGAAGAACCGCAGTTGAAACCTGCTTTTATCATTTTAAAGATAGTTATTTGTAGAAGACAAGGAACCAATTATGCTTGTATTCGTAAATATTGCTCTAAATGTTTTGTTGTAATACTGCCTAAGACCTTTTAAACATGGGTAGTTGCTAGTATAAGGAGTCCTTTATTGGTGACATCTTGGCGGCTAGCTAGCTGGTTTCTACAGAACATAATTTGCCTCTATAGAAGGTGATTCTGAGATCATGTCTTCAATGGAAACTCTTCTGTTTTAGCCTTACCTCAATCTTGCCTACATCAAAGTAGAGCAACACTCATTGAAAACTTCTGATCAAGGGTCCTGAAATTTTCATCTTTAATGTCTTTGTATTAAACTGAATTTTCTTTTAAGCTGCCGGTGATCACAATTTTCAGTTATTATCAGCTGTCTAACTCCTGCAATGAATGTTTATGTGATTGAAGCAAATGTGAATCATGTTATTTTAAAAAGTGGCAGAGTAACTTAACTATCATGCATGATCCCTCATCCCTGAGATTTATAGTCATTTTACTTATTTTATTCATTAGCTAACTTCGTCTATGTATATTTCTAGATTAGTGTAATTGATTATAAAGGATATTTGTTGAATCCAGGGATTGCATTTTGAAATTATAATTATTTTCTTTGCTGAAGTATTCAATGTAAAATATATAATAAAAATAAACATATTTTAAAATACTTGCATTTTAGCATCATTAACTGTTGGATCAGCTTATTCTGGGCTCTCCTTTCCTTCTCAGATTATATCAACAAACGTTTATTGAGCATTTACCTCAGTGGCCACAAAGAGATAAGATGCTGGTTCCACACTCAAGGAACTCAGTTTAGGGGCAAGACAGATAGAGAAACATTTACTCATTGTTTCAGTAAATCCTTGAAGGCCTGCCCTGCACCAGATGCTGTTTAAGAGGCACAAGAGTGAACAAAGAACAGACACTTGCTTTTTTTTGAGATGGAGTTCTGCTCTTTGTTACCCAGGCTGGAGTGCAATGGCGCAATCTCAGCTCACCGCAACCTCTGCCTCCTGGGTTCAGGCAATTCTGCCTCAGCCTCCTGAGTAGCTGGGATTACAGGCACGCGCCACCACGCCCAGCTAATTTTTTTGTATTTTTAGTAGAGATGGGGTTTCACCATGTTGACCAGGATGGTCTTGATCTCTTGACCTCGTGATCCACCCGCCTCGGCCTCCCAAAGACACCTGCTTTTAAGCGCTTACATTCTAGGGGGGAAACACAATACATGTAAGAGTGTATAGAAGGAAACTAACGTGGAGTGAAGCTCTACCGAAGCAGAGTTGTAGATGTTCTAGATGGGGTTGTGAAGGAAGGCCTTTAAGGGAAAGTCTGTCTCTCTGGATCAGTTTTCTCATCTGTAAAATGAGGACAATAATTGTACCTATCTGGGAGTTTTGATGAGCATTAGAGGAGAGAAAATGTGTAGAAAGTGAGAGCGTTAAGGGGATAAGAGGCTTCCAGGCAGTGGGCAGGGAAAACACAAAGGCCCTGAGGCAAGAGTGGGCTCAGAGCGGATGCAGATTTACCGTAACTAGGGCGGTGGTGGGGGTTCCAGAGTGCCTTTTGGCCAGGACAAGGACTTTAGGTTCTGTTCTAGGGTGGGGAATGTTAGGAAGGTTTTGAAAAACAGGGTGACATCAACTTGTTCTAAGAGAATTAATCTGGTTCCTTAGTTAAGACTGGACATAGCCGTCCAAAATGGGGAAGCAGGCCAGCGGGCCAGCTTTGTGACATCCCGGAGGGTAGAGACAGCGGAATAGTACAGCATGCTGCATACTGCGCTGGTGCTGTAGATGGATTTCTGCGGCATAACGGGAACATTGAGGAGTTGGAGGGGGTACCTTACTCAACCAGGAGGGTCAGGGAAGCCTTCCTGGAAGAGGAGATAAAACCTTGGCGGTTAAGAAAAGTGAGCTAGGGGAACTGAGCAAATGTAGAAGCAGAGGAGTCACACAGGCTTGAAGGACACCACTAGCCGATTTCCTGTTTCTGGAGGGGCAGGGCAAAGGAAGGAATCAGCCTGCTGGGGGTTAATGGCCCACACTGGGCACTTCTCAGTGGCCCAGTGCTGTGTTAAGGGATGTTTTATCTCCTTCGATCCTAAACAAAACCCTGAGATAGGTACAATTGTTATCCTCATTTTGCAGATGAGAAATAGACTTTGAGATACTGACTTGGCCAAGGTCACACAACTAAGTGGTGTGCTGGGTCCCCTTGTCCAGGACTCCGGAGGCCGCCTGAATACCCTAAGCACACTGCAGCTTCCGTGAATTCAAGTGCACACACACAGCCCCCACCCTCTCCTGTGCTAGGGAAGGGAAGGTGATGGGGAGGAAGGGAAGGTGGATTTTTCTTTACAAATGGTCCCTACTTGACCTGGTACTCAAGAAAAGGAACTGGATTTGCCCCAACACTGGAAAAAAAACCTGTCTGGCTGAGGGATAGTGCAGTGTACCCAGGGCCCTGTACTTGATTTGATGCTCTGCTGTTACTCTCTTGAAATTCTCAGTAACTTGAATAAGGGCATCGCATTTGACATTTTCACTTGGCTGAGCACTGGATGCAGCCGGCCAGACAGCAACACCAGGCACACCAGAATTCGCGGGCAATGGGAAGGATTTTCGAGGGTAATGACCACGGGGAGGGCGCTGCAGGACCTCAGGGTCAGGTTGCTGAAGGCTCCACTCGCAACCTTTCCGGGTCTTCGCATTAGGTTCCGATAGTGACCCCCTCGGGGCCTGGAGGCGGCCCGGCTCCCCAAAGGTGCGGGGCAGGGCAAACAGGGTTGGGAGGACGTGGCCCGTGGAAGTGGGCTCGCCGGAACAGTGGGCGCGCAAGGGCCTCCAGGCGCGGCGATACGAGGTGTCCGGCGCGCGGGCCTGGGGCGGAAACTGCGGATGCGCGCTGCCTGGGGCGGGGCTCGCCGCCTGGCTCCTCCTCCGCGCGCGGCCTGGCGGCGGCGGCGGCACCACCAGCAACCACTCCAACCGGCACAAAATGTCCCTGGAGCAGGAGGAGGAAGCGCAGCCCGGGCGGCTCTTAGGACGCAGCGACGCCGGCGCCTACTTCATTGAGCCCAACGTGCGCTTCTGGATCAACCAGCGCCAAGTACAGCCCGGACCCGGCGCGGCTGGGGGCGGGGAGGGCGCGGGCCGGGCCGCGTGGAGTCGGGCTGGCGTGGGTGACCTTGGGAAGGCCACGTGGTCGCCCACCGCCTCCGTTTCCTGGTCCCGGAGTTGCGCTGCGAACGCGCACCACCCGCCTGACCCCCTTAGGCCGCGGGAAGGGACGCAGGGGAAACCCAATTTGCCAGATGCCCACAGCCACAAGGTCACCCTCCAGATCGCCCTCTCTAAGGGTCGCACTCCGCGCAGGTGGCTGCTCCCTGCTGCCTGAGCTGTGGCTGAGCAGCAGATTGGGGAGAAACAGGCCCTCCTACCTTGGTAGGCTCAGCCACTCTCGGTGAGACCCCCGAGGCTTTGGGAAGCCACCTTTGGGCAGGAAATAAGCAGGACTCATCTTCCTGCGGCGTCTAAGGCCGCACAGTCCAATAGAAATAAGATGTGAGCCTCAGAGGCAATTAAAAATGTTCTAGTAGCCACATTAAACAAGATAAACAGCTGAAATTAATTTTAACAATACAGTACTTTTAGCCCAACAGGTGCAAAATATTAACATTTCAACATGTAACCAGTAAAAACATTCCTGAGATATTTTACTCGCTTTTTTGGTACAAAGTCTTCCAAATCCTGCATCTGTTACACCCGCAGCACATCTGGCTTCAGATGTATGTTGCGAATCGGAGAGCAGGGCTTTAGGGGGTTCTCTCTTAGGCCTCTCCTAAAGTGAGGTCCAGCCCTGTTTTTTAGGTGGGGAAATAGAGAAGGGACAGTGAGCTCAGGTGTCTCTAGCAGAGCCAGGGCTTAAAGCCAGAGCCACTACAAAGTTTAGGGCTTGTTGGAGCAAACCTCCTTTCCCTAGTGTAACCCTCCAGCTGCGCCATTGAGCCCTTAATTGGGCATCCATCCTTTATCACTGGAGTGAAGCCTTACAGCAACCAGAGAGTGAGGCCACAGATTCTGAAATCTAGGACATTGCTTTGAGGTCATATGTGAGATATGAACCTAGGGCCATTTGAACCCCAAAGTCTGGGCTTTTAACCCTCAAGGGCAATTTGATACTGAGCAGTTAAGGGCACAGACTTCTGAGTCATTTCCTGGCTGTTGCCTTGAGTACATTCATGAATCCTTCACAGCCTCAGCTTCCTCACCTGAGAATGGGGAGATTGGGAGGATCCCAGGAGATGATGCCAGTAAAAAACAGATTGCAGACCCTGGCAGGTTCTAAAAAAAAAAAAAAAAAAAGCCAATTGTTACTATTATATCTTTATTTTTCTGCTACCATTAACTCCTCTGTTGCTTTTCTCCCTCCTAAGTCCTTTATTCAACGATTTCTTCAATGGACAGAATTATTAGACCCTACAAATGTGTTCATTTCAGTTGTAAGTATTTTCTTATTTTGAAAATAGTGAGCTAATGAATTTCACATTTTATTTTGAAACTTAACACATGTCCCTTTTCATTTTTTTTTTTTCTTTGAGTTGGAGTTTTGCTCTTGTTGCCCACGATGGAGTGCAATGGTGCGATGTCAGCTCACAGCAACCTCTGCCTCCTGGGTTCAAGCAATTCTCCTGCCTCAACCTCCCGAGTAACTAGGATTACAGGCATATGCCACCATGCCTGGCTAACTGTTTTTTTCAGTAGACACTGGGTTTCTCCATGTTAGGCTGGTCTCAAGCTCCCAACCTCAGGCCCAGCCTGTAGTTATTTCAACTACTTTTAAAATGTCCCTTTTAAAAGTAGTTGAAATAACAGAATTTGTGTATATTATTGTGTTTATTCCTTCTGAATGAGCTTGTCAGATTGGAAGGGGTAAAGAAAAGCATATATCTGTCGGACACTGTGGCTCACGTTTGTAATCCCAGCACTTTGGGAGGCCGAGGCAGGTGGATCACCTGAGATCAGGAGTTTGAGACCAGCCTGACCAACATGGTGAAACCCCTGTCTCTACTAAAAATACAAAATTAGCTGGGTGTGGTGGTGGATGCCTGTAATCCCAGTTATTCGGAAAGCTGAGGTAGGAGAATCACTTGAACCCAGGAGGCAGAGGTTGCAGTGAGCTGTGATGCTACTACTGCACTCCAGCCTGGGTGACAAGAGTGAAACTCCATCTCAAAAAAAAAAGAAAAGAAAAGCATACATTGTCTTTAACAGGTAATAGCAGGCCCAGACCAGGTGTTGGTGATTCAGAGAGAATCAAACAAATCTTCCACGTGATGGGGGACAGACTGGCTAATCTGGTCACAGCCTGGGCGACAAGAGTAAAATTCTGTCTTTTAAAAAAAAAAAAAAAAAAAAAGGACCAAGCGCAGGGGCTCATGCCTGTAATTGTAATCCCAGCACTTTGGAAGGCCAAGGTGGGCAGATCACTTAAGGTCAGGAGTTTGAGACCAGCCTGGCCAACATGGTGAAACCCTGTCTCTACTAAAAATACAAAAGTTAGCTGGGCTTGGTGGCAGGCGCCTGTAGTCCCAGCTACTCAGGAGGCTGAGGCAGGAGAATTGCTTGAACCCCGGAGGCAGAGGTTGGAGTGAGCCCAACTGTGCCACTGCATGCCAACCTGGGTGACAAAGCAAGACTCCATCTCAAAAAAAAAAAATAATATGTAATAAAATTAGAAGCAAATATAACCAAATGTTTACAGTTGTTAATTCTGGGTGAGGGGATTAGAGTGTGTGGCCATTCTTTGTATTTAATTATTTTTTTCTCAAGAAATGGAGGCTAGCTGTGGTGGCTCATATCTGTAATCCCAGTACTTTGGGAATCTGAGATGGAAGGATCTCTCAAGAGTAAGAATTTGAGACCTAGCAAGATCCTATCTGTACAAATAAAAATTTTAAAAGTTAGCCAAGTATAGGTGGGTTGTGCCTATAGTCACAGCTACTTGGGAGGCTGAGGCAGGAGGATCACTTAAGCCCAGGAGTTGGAGGCTGCAGTGAGTTGTGATCACACCACTGCACTCCAGCCTGGGCAGCAGAGTGAGACCCTGTCTCTTAATAAGAAAAGAAAGAAAAACAGAGAGGAAATAAGACTAAACTGATTAGACATGGAAGTGGATGAGAGAGGACTTCCGGGTTTCTGACATGCACAGCCAGGGGATGGTGGCACCATTTACTGAGACAGTTGACATCAGAGAGTGGGAGAGGTGACAGCACCATTGCAGGCAGCTGCTGGAGCATCGAGGAAGAGAAAGGCCTAAATCTGCATGGCACTCAGGGCTATCCTAATGGGTAGAGAGCCTAGGGCACCATGTGGCTTGAAATCGGGCATGCAGTTGAAGTCCAGTGCATGCTGGTGAGTGAGCTGGTGATTCCTCCATCTGGGGATAAACCTGAACAATGTTGAGATCATTGCTTGATTTCTTGATATCTGATTTTAGGAAAGTATAGAAAACTTGAGGCAACTATTGTGCACAAATGAAGATGCTTCCAGATCCGCCTTGGAGGACCAAAGGGTATGTTTCACGTGCTGAGCTCTGGCTGGTTCAAGGCTGGGTATAGTTGCCCTCAGATGATTCTGCTGCATGGTCTGAAGTCAGGTGGAATTTGGCCATGAATCTCTCTCTGTCTCTTTTCTTTTTTGGGGGGTGGGGGAGCCACTGAGCTATTGGCTATTAATGCTGTCATTGTTATATATCGCCCAGAGGACCAGCTTTTCAAAACTGGGTTAGCTTTTTAAATGTAGTTAGAGTTCTGTCCCATAAACCAGACAGCAAGTTTCCTCCTATGCAGTGGATATTCACGGGGATTTCATGCAGCTGATTCCTGGAGCCCCATGGCAAACTCCAGAATTCAGACAGGCCTCCCAAGTCAGAATTTATTTTGCACTACAGGCAGTGTTTCTGCCCATAGGCTCAAATGGACTGTTCTTATCTAACTTGCAGTGGGTGGGGCTTTCTGGAGCTCACAAACACCAGTTCCTTAAGGCAGCCTATGGAGAGCTCATATATTTAACTTACTTTTTATAAGAATGTTTTGGGGACCCTGGGCCTACAGCTTGGCTCTGTTGCAAGTGACTTGGCTCGTGGCATAGCGTGTCATCAGTACACATCCTGCGCTGAGCCAGAGGCAAGCTGGATTCGGGGACTCATATGAGGGATAAGTTAGGTGTTGGTCCTCTCGAAGAGTAGAGACAGGACTTTTTTTTTTTGAGACGGAGTCTTGTTCCATTGCCCAGGCTGGAGTGCAGTGGTGCAATCTCAGTTCACCGCAACCTCTGCCTCCCGGGTTCAAGTGATTCTTGTGCCTCAGCTTTCTGAGTAGCTGGGATTGGAGGTGCACACCACCACACCAGCTAATTTTTGTATTTTTAGTAGAGACAGGGTTTCACCATATTGGTCAGGTTGGTCTCAAACTCCTGACCTTGTGATCCGCCTGCCCCAGCCTCCCAAAGTGCTGGGATTACAGGCGTGAGTGACTGTGCTGGTCTGAGACAGGACTTTTTAATGTTCTGGTCAGTTTCTCTGTGTGGCTCATCTCTTTGCTTGCCATTGGTTCATTCGTTTATTCATATGATTCATTTATTTTGATTTGTTCGCTAGTGTGGTGGAAAACAGCTCTGGCCTTCATTCTCTAAAATGTAGAGCAAAGGTGGTCTCAGAAATGAGACTGGCAGAGAGATGCTTTAAAGCTGAGCCACCTTTAAAAGCTTTTTTTTTTTTTTTTTTAGGCTGAGTGCGATGACTCACCCCTGTAATTCCAGTGCTTCGGGAGGATGACTTAATGTAAAGAGTTTGAGACCAGCCTGGGCAGTATAGCAAGACCCCATTTCTACTAAAAATTAACTAGCTGGGAATGGCGTGACGGTGAGGTGGGAGGGTCGCCTGAACCCAGTAGTTCGAGGCTGTACTGCAGTGAGTGATGATCAAGCCACTGCACTCCAGCCTGGGTGATGGCGCAAGACCTTGTCTCTTAAAAAAATTTTTTAATGAAGCAAAGCTATTCTTTTTTCTTCTTTAAGATACAAGAAGCTTGGAAGCGGAGTCTTGTAAGTTTCAGCCTCTTTCTAATTTTTAGTGTCCTAAAATAACAAAACTAGACATCCACCTAAACTTTGCATCTCTCTTCTTGAAGTCAACAGTGCATCCCGACAGCAGCAACCTGATCCCCAATCTTTTTCGACCTGCAGGTGAGTTGGCTGTAATTTTCAGAAGTGGGGGTTGGAAAGATGTCGTTTGTAACACTTAGAAAACTCTGCCTGCCAGATCACCTGAGGTCAGGAGTTCAAGACAGCCTGGCCAACATGGTGAAACACCGTCTCTGGTAAAAATACAAAAAATCACTTTGGCATTGTAGTGGGTGCATGTAATCCCAGCTACTCAGGAGGCTGAGGCGGGAGAATCTCTTGGACCCGGGGCGGAGGTTGCAGTGAACCAAGATCACACCATTGCACTTCAGCCTGGGCAACAAGAGTGAAATTCCATCTCAAAAAAAAAAAGAAAACTCTACCAGCCTTGCTTTAATATTCCCCCAGATTTTTCTTTTCTTTTTTTTGAGACAAAGTATTGCTCTGTCACCCCAGGCTAGAGTGCAGTGGTGTGATCTCAGCTTACTACAACTTCCACCTCCCAGGTTCAAGCAAATCTGCTGATGCCTCCTGAGTAGCTAGGATTACAGGTGCCTGCCACCACTCCCACCTAATTTTTTTTTTTTCTTGGTATTTTTAGTAGAGACCAGGTTTCATTATGTTTGCTAGGCTGGTCTCGAACTCTTGACCTCATGATCTGCCCAACTTGGCCTCCCAAAGTCCTGGGATTACAGGTGTGAGCCACCGTGCCTGGCTCTGTTATAGTAATTTTATGTGCATACTTTTATTATTATTATTATTAGAGATAGGGTCTCACTCTGTTACCCAGGCTGGAGTGCAGCAGCACCACAATAGCTCAAAGCAGCCTCCAACTCCCAGGCTCAGCTGATCCTCCTGCCTCGGCCTCCTGAGTAGCTGGAACTATAGGGTCATGCTGCCACACCTGGCTTTAAATTTTTTTGTGGAGATGGGGGTCTCACTACCTTTACAAAATAGAGGCTGGTCTCAAACTCCTGGCCTCAACCCATCCTCCAGCCTCAGCCTTCCAAAATGCTGAGGTTACAGGCTTGACCCACCACTATATTAGCAAAAAAAGAATGAGTGGAAAATCTCCTTTGAGGTCTGTGCCTTCTGGAAGCTAGGGAAGAGGAGTTCAGGTGGGTGGTCCCCTTCTAGCCCCCTCTGCCTGGGCAGCTGCAGTCACTGATACCTTCTCTCTTCTCTTCCTGCCAGCGTTCCTGCCTTTCATGGTGCCTGCGGTGAGCAAATGGATACTCGCCGTTAGGAGACTAGGGGCTTGGGAAGATGGCCACCTTCCTCCTAACCTGGGCTGTGTCCCTCCAGACCTGGACCCCTGTCCCATGACTGCCTGATGGATTGTTGTGGACCCCCACTGATAACCCATAGTTGCCATTCTATGTCCTTGTCCCTACTCCCTTCCCCTCCCTGCACGCGCAGAGAGTCGGGCATCCAGGCCTCTGGAAGGTCCACAGCTTCTCAAAGTCATCCCTTTTCTGGATACCCAACTATTAGCAGAGCACCGTAGAAGAGGCCAGTGAGTCAGGATGTGTTCCCTACACAAATCCCTCTCCACCAAGTCCTCTCCCACACAGCCCCTCACCTGGGACCTGACAGCCCCGTGAGGCTTTCCCACCTTGGCTTTTGGGAGGTGCTTTTCTGTTTTTTGTTTTGAGACAGTCTCACTCTGTCACCCAGGCTGGAGTGCAGTGGCGCAATCTCAGCTCACTGCAGTCTTCGTCTACTGCGTTCAAGCAATTCTCCTGTCTCAGTCTCCTGAGTAACTGGGATTATAGGCGCCCTTCACCACGCCCAGCTAATATTTGTATTTTTAGTACAGATGGGGTTTCACCATGTTGGCCAGGCTGGTCTCTAAGTCCTAACCTCAGATGATCTACCCACCTTGGCCTCCCAAAGTGCTGGGATTATAGGAGTGAGCCACCATGCCTGGACTGGTGTTTTGTTTTTCGAAATAGGGTCTTGCTCTGTTGCCCAGGCTGGAGTGCAGTGATGCAGTCATAGCTCACTGTAACTTCAAACTCCTAGTCTCAAGCGATCCCCTCACTTCAGCCTCCTGAGTAAATGGGATTACAGGTACTCATTACTATGCCAGGCTAATTTTTTTTATTTTTAGCAGAAATGGAGTCTTGCTATGTTTCTCAGGCTGGTCTCAAACTCCTGGCCTCAAGGAATCTTCCCAGTTTGGTCTACCAAAGTGTTGAGTTTATAGCCATGAGCCACCATTCCAGCCTAGGAGGTACTTTTCCACACCACAGGCTCCTGTCTGCTTCCCCTAGCAAATGTGGGTGTTTTTTTTGAGATGGAGTCTCACTTTGTTGCCCAGGCTGGAGTGCAGTAGCATGATCTTGGCTCGTTGCAACCTCCGCCTCCCGGATTCAAGTGATTCTCCTGCCTCAGCCTCCCTAATAGCTGGGATTACAGGTATGTGCCACCACACCCGGCTAATTTCTGTATTTTTAGTAGAGATAGAGTTTCACCATGTTGGTCAGGCTGGTCAAGAACTCCTGGCCTCAAGTGATCCTCCCGCTTCGGCCTCCCAAAGTGCTGGGATTACAGGCATGCGCCACCGCGCCCGGCCAATAGATGTGTACATCTGAGACACCCTGCTGGACTGAAGCCCTGGAGACACGGCCTGCCGTGTGCTCCCAGATGTCCTGGAGCCGCTAGTTTGGTGTTTGGCAGGTGCTCACTCAACCTTGTCTTCTGACCCGCAGCCGGTGCACCTACCACCAGCCTCTCCTGCCCCAGGTCCTTGGGGGCTCAGTTCTCCCTCTGCCCTGGAAAGTTCTTTGCTACTGCATGTCCCACCCCGCTGCCACTAAACACTTGTAACTGCTCCACTTTCTTCTTAAAAGGTATTTTTTTCAATGATGCCACCAAAAGGGATCAAGTCCATGGTTTTACCCAAGGTAACAATTCTTCCTGTTTCACGATTACCGAATTCTGTTATGCTTGCAACCGAAATGCGATTCATTTGCCCCCTCGGCAGGTTTACCTCTACGCGTACCTGACAGCGTTCAGCATCATCAATGGAAACAGAAGTTACGTGAGTACTGTGAGACCCAGAGGGTGTGTGGTTTTGTGTTGTTTCTTTTGGAGTTGGTTGTATGTGTTTGTTTTTAAATTATCTTTGCTGGGCAAAACTGCGATATTTACTAAATAAGTACTTTTGTTTCTCCTCAGACTTGTCATCCACTAGAAAGATCATTCCTAGGGGTGGGAGCCTTTGCTTCTTCAAGCTTCTTTGGAGTAGGTATTTTTAGAATCTGACAAATCTTTATTCCTCAGAATCCAGAAAGCTTTATTTATTCCAATTTCAAATTTGTGTTCCAATTGAACAATTTTGAAGTATGAATAGGAAATAAAAGTCACCTGTAATCCTATTATCCCAAAATAATCGCGTTAATAATCTAAGATTCCAGGCATGTACTTGATACTGTTATTTTTTTTTCTTTTCTTTCTTTTTTTTTTTTTTTACTGCACCCTCTGTCTCCTGGGTTCAAGTGATTCCCCTGCCTCAGCCTTCTCAGTAGATGGGATTACAGGCATATACCACCACACCCAGCTAATTTTTTGTATTTTTAGTAGAGAAGGGGTTTCCCCATGTTGGTCAGGCTGGTCTCAAACTCTTGACCTCAGGTGATCTGCCTGTCTTAGCCTCCCAAAGTGCTGGGATTTGAGTGAGCCACCATGCCTGGCCAGTACTGTTATCTTTTTAAAAACTGGTTTATGCTACACAAATATGTTATATAAATTGTGTATTGCTTTGGATGTCAGGACATTGTAATGGTGAAAGATGGAGATGTTAGCATCAGGCAAACCTAGGCCCTCATCCTGGCTCAAACCTTTAATGGCTCTGTGACTCGACAACTTACATACCTCTCTAAGCCCTGTTGACTCCTTAGCTGAACAGGGAGAGAACCTCCATGTTGCAGGAATTTGAAAAATACATGAAGAGGAGTCTGACTTAGGAACTAGGTCAGGGTAGACTCTCTGCTAGTGAGTAGGTTCCGCTGATTTTTCAGTCCTGTGCAGTAATTTTTCTCTCTTCTTTTCTAGTTAATACCTAACTTTATCCAGATGAAGTTTTCCTCGAATACCTTTTTTATGAAAAGAATTTTACCTATAGCTGTCCATGGTAAGCAGGAAACGCTGGAGCCCGGAGTCTGGGTGGGGTGTCTTTGTGGTCTGTGAGCCTTCCTTCATCTCTAGAGACACCTGGGTCCCTTGGCACATTGTGACCGATGACAGGTGCCCTTTGCACCCTGTCAGGCCCCAAGCCCAAATTAGGTCTTTGGTTTGAGAGGTGATACTTTCTGTAGTTACCCCATTAATGGCCAAAGAACGAACGTAAGACTGGAAACACAATTTTTTTTTTTTTTGAAATGGAGTCTTGCTCTGTCACCCAGCCTGGAGTGCAGTGGCATGACCTCGGCTCACTGCAACCTCTACTTCCTGGGTTTAGGCGATTCTCCTGCCTCGGTCTCCCAAGTAGCTGGGATTACAGGCATGTACCACTGTGCCCAGCTATTTTTTTTTTTTTTTTTTTGTATTTTTAGTAGAGACAGGCTTTTACCATGTTGGCCAAGCTGGTCTTAACTCCTGACCTCAAGTGATTCGCCCACCTTGGCTTCCCAAAATGCTGGGATTACAGGCATGAGCCACTGCTCCCAGCCCTACATTTTAAAGATTATCCGTACAAACATTCTACATACATTATTTCACTTAATCCTGAAAACAACTTTTGGGTAGGAAATATTCCTATGTACAGATGAGGAGACTGAGGCACAGGGAGGTTAAGGTTAAGTAACTTGCCTAGAGTTACACAGCGAGCAAGTGATTAATACAGGGATTCCAACCCAGTGTCGGTGGCAGAGATATTAGCTGAATATTTTGACTCTACCAGCCTATAAGTTTACTATGCCATGCTCCAAATTTGGGTTGGTAATCATAGCAGTTTGAGGAGTTGGCACACTGACATCAGCGGTGAAATTGAGGAAATGGTGTTATGGAAACCTTACAACTTTGACCAGGTATGGTGGCTCATGCCTGTAGTCCTAGCACTTTGGGAGGCTGTCCCAGGCAGATCCCTTGAGGTCAGGTGTTTGAGACCAGCCTGACCAACATGTTGACACCTGTCTCTACTAAAAATACAAAAATTAGCTGGGCGTGGTGGTGTGTGCTTGTAATCCCAGCTACTTGGGAGGCTGAGGCAGGAGAATTGCTTGAACCTGGGAGGCGGAGGTTGCAGTGAGCCGAGATAATGCCATTGCACTCCAGCCTGGGTAACAAGAGCGAAACTGTCTCACAAAAAAAAAAAAAAAGGAAACCTTACAACTTAAGCAAAGATGAGGGTTATGTTTCCAGGATCCTGGGGTTTCTCCTGGAATCTGCTAAGGAAGCAAGGTTACTGGAAGCTGGTCCCAGGCTGTGGTCAGAATCCAAGACTGAGTAGCCGGCAGTTCTGAGCCCACCTCCACAGCCCCAGGAAAGCATGTGGTTGGCCCAGCCCATAGCAGGTGACCACCCAAGGCTCAAGAAAGGGCAGCTGCCAGAGAAAAAGGCTTGAAGTGGGCAGAGCCAAAGAGATGTTCCTTTGCTGGAACAAAACTCACCCCGTGTTGCGTGTTCTTTACTTCTTTACATCTACAGCACAAATAAGTGGAATGAATGTCTTAACATCCCGAAGTCTTGAGACCACTAAAGGGATTGCAGTCATGGACAAGGAAGGCCATGTCCTAGGCCATTCCACAATTGCTGGGAAAAAGGTGAGAGACAGCATAGAGCTACAGCTGCTTACCCTTTACGCAAAGACTTGACTTTTCTGTTTGAAAGCCGGTGACAAATTCATGTCTGCCTTCAACCTTTCTTTACCCGTCTTTCCTCAGCATGCTGAGAGATAAATTTTTCCTTTTGCCCCCTGATATGTAAAAGATGGGGTGTTAGTCTGGGTTCTCTGGAGAAACAGAACCAATGGGATATATGTATATACCTTTCTTTTCTGAGACAGGGTCTTGCTCTGTCGCCCAGCTGAAATACAGTGGTACAATCTTGGCTCAATGCAACCTCTGCCTCCTGAGCTCAAGCAATCCTCCCATCTCAGCCTCTCAAGCAGCTGAGACCACAGGCACACACCACTGCACCCGGCTTATTTTTGTATTTTTTAGTAGAGACGAATATTCACTATGTTGGCCAGGCTGATCTCAAACTCCTGAGTTCAAGTGATCTTCCCACCTTGGCCTACCAAAGTGCTGGAATTACAGGTGTGTGCCACTGCACCCAGGCAGTACATGTCTAATAAGAGATTTGTTCTAAGGAATTGGCTTCCACAATTGTGGGAATCTGTAGGGCAGGCCTGGAGGCTGGAAACTTGGGCAGGAGCTGCTGCTGCCGTCTTGAGGCAGAAGTTCTTCTTTGGGAAACCTCAGTTTTTGCCTATAAGGCCTCCAACTGATTGGATGAGGCCCACCAACATTGTGAAGGATAACCTTCTTTTCTTTTCTTTTTTTTTTTTTTTGAGACTGAGTCTCACTCTGTCGTCCAGGCTGGAGTGCAGCCGCATGATGATCTTCACTCACTGCAGCCTCCACCTCCCAGGTTCAAGCAATTCTTCTGCCTCAGCCTCCCAAGGAGCTGGGATTACAGGCATGTGCCATCACGCTTGGCTAAGTTTTGTACTCCTGGCCTCAACGGATCCTCCTGCCTTGGCCTCCCAGAGCACTGAGAGGTGTGAGGCACTGCACCCAGCTACAGCTAAGAGCAAATATCAAATCAGCAAGTCGTTCCCAGCACCTCCTGCCTGCCAGGCTCAGTGCTAGGCTCTGGAGACCCACACACTTGGCCACTGAGAGCCCCTGCTCCCCAGGAGCCCCAGCCTCCCAGCCGGAAGGTAGCCTCAGGCCTGTCTGGCTGTCTGGAGTCCATCTCACCAGAAGAAACTTCATTTTGGGGATAAGTGGCATGTTAGGGTCAAAGGAAAGCTTTGCTGATCTGCTTTTAAAAAAAAAAAAGTCTTTTTTTCTCTGAAGAGTAAAGTGTCTGCAACTATGCGTAAGCATAAATATTCTTCTATCACTTCCCTGTCCCTGGAAGGTTCTTTTCTTTGGCTACAATTTCAGAAAATGCGTAACCGGCAGTATCTGATGGTGACAGGGCACCGCTGGTCGGATTTCAGGGGATTCCTGGACATTGTTTCCCCCGACTGCCCCATAAGCCACTCCTTTGCACACAGCACCTCCTAATGATCAGTGGAGAGCGGCAGGCCTCATCCCACTGACACGGAAACAGCACGCCAGCAGCCGCTTTTCCCTTCCAGAAGTCAAGCATTTCACTTTACATCCCTGAGACTTTTAAATTTTATTTTATTTATTTTATTTTAGAGACTGAGTCTCACTCTGTCGCCCAGGCTGGAGTGCAATGGTGTGATCTTGACTCACTGCAATTTCCACCTTCCAGATTCAGGTGATTCTCCTGCCTCAGCCTCCCGAGGAGCTGGGATTATAGGCATGAGCCACCATACCCGGCTGATTTTCATATTTTCAGTAGAGATGGGGTTTCACCATGTTGGCCAGGCTGGGCTTGACTCCTGACCTCAGGTGATCTGCCCGCCTCAGCCTCTCAAAGTGCTGGGATTACAAGTGTGAGCCACCATGCCTGGCCCCTGAGACTTTATTTTAAAAACAGCCCTCCTCAGCTTCCTCTCTTTTTTTGGGGGAAAGGCATTCCCTGCAGAGGGAACTGCATGAGCATGACTGTCACCCGAAGCAGGGCAGAAGTGTGAGCAGAGAGCAGGGGCCGGGCGGTAGGAGGAGCTGGCAAGGTAGGTCAAAGCCAATCGTGGGAAGCCAGAAATGGAAGGAACAGAGTTCAGGGAAGGACAGGGGCAGGTGTGCCTGCTCCTCTTGAGCACACAGTGTGCTGTCTGTGGTGGTGTGTCTTACCCAGGGGTGGGTTCTAAAGTTAACATGCCAGCTACTCGGGAGGCTGAGGCAGGAGGATCGCTTGAGGCCAGGAAGTCAAGACCAGCTTGGGCAATATAGTGAGACCACATCTCTGCAGTAAATCAAAAAGTTAACTGGGCTTGGTGGGGCGTACCTGTGATCCTGGCTACTTGGGAGGCCAAGGTAGGAGAATTGCTTGAGCCTGGGAGGTCGACACTGCAGTGAGCCATGATCACGCCACTGTACTCCAGCCTGGGTGACACAGTGAGACCCTATCTCTAAAAATAAACAAATAAAAGTAGTAATACAGTTAACGTGAGCTGTTTTATAGTCAGAATTTCCCTTACAAGTCCCTCGAAGTGCCCTTGAGGGTACATGGTTTTGTGCATATCACCCGTGCAGTAAATTGTATGTTAAATGTTTGATATATATAGAAAAGATTACAAAAATGTTATAACCTGTATATAACACAGTTTTTTAGTGTAACACTTTCAATTCGCTATATGAAACGTGGGTACGGACAGGTGGCCTCGTGTGGGTCCCATGCTTTGCCAGCATCCTCAGAGCTGGGCATTTGGAGGCTCCCCCACTAGCAGGTGTGGGAGTCGCTGCTGAGCCAGGTCAGGACAGGAGCCAGTGGCAGGGACCTGGTTTGGAAGGGAAATAGGGAGCGAACCTCCGTGGCCAATCCAGCGTTTCCACCGAGGAACAATTTGGTTCTCCGTGAGGATTTGTCTAGAAGCCACCTTTGCTTGTACTTAGTGGATAGTTTATTGGGGGTAGTTTGGCAGGTGGATGGAGACCACTGTGGAGTCAGGAGGTGAGTCCCCTCTCAGCTATTCCTGCACCAAATGCAGCCAACCTCCACAAGCCTGTACGTGGAAAGGTGCAGGGAAGGCGTCCCCCCACCTCTTTCCACAGGTGTTCTTTTTCTTAGTGAGAAGGGAGGGTTGCTGTTGCCTGTCTCTGGCAGGATTTTTGGGATCCCTGGAAATCATCTTGCTCCTGTACTAAGCTTTTTTTTTTTTTTTTTCTGTTTTGAGATAGAGTTTCACTCTGTTGCCAAATCTGGAGTGCAGTGGTGTGAATGATCTCAGCTCACTGCAACATCTGCCTCCCAGGTTCAAGTGATTCTTGTGCCTCACCCTCCTGAGTAGCTGGGACTACAGGTACATACCACCACACCTGGCTAATTTTTTTATTTTTTGGTAGAGACCAGGGTTTCACCATGTTGGCCAGGCTAGTCTCAAACTCCTGACCTCAAGCGATCCGCCTACCTCAGCCTCCCAAAGTGCTAGGATTACAGGCATGAGCCACCGTGCCTGGCGTAAGCTGCTTTCTTTTCATTTTTGCCAGGCTATTACAGAAACAGCAATATCCAGGGGAGTGCTGCTTGGGACCTCAGCTGTGATTCCTGAAGTCTTCACCTACTTCTTTAAAAGGTAAGAGGCACGCTCATATCCCCAGGTAGGAAAAAACATTTTGAAAGTCAAATTCTTATAAAACTTGTCAGAGCCGGGCGTGGTGACTCACACCTGTAATCCCAGCACTTTGGGAGGCCGAGGCGGGTGGATTACGAGGTCAAGAGATTGAGACCATTCTGATCAACATGGCGAAACCCCGTCTCTACTAAAAATATAAAAACTTAGCTGGGCATGGTGGCACGTGCCTGTAATCCCAGCTACTCAGGAGGCTGAGGCAGGAGAATTGCCTGAACCCAGGAGGCGGAGATTGCTGTGAGCTGAGATCACGCCATTGCACTCCAGCCCGCGTAACAAGAGTGAAACTCCATCTCAAAAAAAAAAAAAGAAAGAAAGAAAACCTGTCAGATACTGACCCTGGTGGAGGATGGGAAGAGGTTGGCTCAGTAACCTTCCCACAAACATTCATCATAGCTAAGACAGTCCGATTGATTGGGGCAGGTGTGGAAATCCAGGTGTGTGGATTCCACTGAATGGGGAATCCAGCCCAGGCTCTGCCCCCAGTTACCCTGCATCATTGGCATATCCAAGGACCTTCCACGGCCATTTCCTCACCTCTAGAATGAGGGGCTTTGATGATGTGCAGGTTCTCCCATCTCTGATGTGCTGTGAATATTTCTCAAGCCCTCCCTTCTGCATCCTCGTCCAAGCATGTTTTAAATTAGCTTCAGTGACTTCGGATTCTGATTCATCCCTTTTAAGAAGCCAGAAATGGCCCATGAGGTGGAGGACCTGGGCATCAGTCAGGGTTTCTGTGGCCATCAGTTTGAGAAACCTAACCTACAAGAGCTCAGGCCCAAGGGGAGACGTGGGGCTTTAGGGACCGGAACTGGCGAAGAATGCAGCCCATGGCAGCTTGAACAGAAGCTCCCCTGCTGTGCGTGTAGCCCTCTCACCCTCATGGGTGTTGGTTCCTTCTCTTCTGCCAGATTGGCTTCCTCATACTGATGAGGGACCCACTTGCTAGTAACTCCCAGCTCATAGCCTCATAGCCGCCTGATTAGAGGTGGAACACAACAAACCCCAGGGGAGGTAGGAATGTCTTTCCCTCAGGCCGGATTCCTGGGTAAGGAACCTGTGGGCCTGAATTGGGTTATGTGCCTGGCACTGTACATCCTCCCCTCCAGTGTGCTGGGAATCGCCTGCTAGGACCACACGTGGAGCACATTTCCAAGCAGGAGGGATGGGACGGGCGTGGTGGCTCACGCCTGTAATCCCAGCATTTTGGGAGACTGAGGTGGGCAGATCACCTGAGGTCAGGAGTTCGAGACCAGCCTGGCCAACATAGTGAAACACTGTCTCTACTGAAAATACAACAATTAGCTGGGCATGGTGGCAGGCACCTGTAATCCCAGCTACTCAGGAGGCTGAGGCAGGAGACTCACTTGAACCTGAGAGGCAGAGGTTGCAGTGAGCCGAGATCACACCATTGCACTTCAGCCTGGGCAATAGAGTGAAACTATCTACCAAAAAAAAAAAGGATGGAGGACGGCAGCCAGCCTGGGCAGAGCTAACCATTACTTTCCCAAGCATGATCGAGCTGGATGGGTGCAGAGACTTTTGCTCCAGCAGGCACTCCTGGGCTGCTCTGGCTGGGGCTCCTGTTAAAGCTGGGCCCATATCCCATGAGGCCTACCTGCATAGCACAGGCTGCCTGGTAGGGAGAAAGGGTTCATTTCTCAGTGGGCATGGAGGTGCCTGGAAGGACTGAGCTATCAAGTGACCTCCCAGAAGGACCATCCTAGAGCCATGACAGTAGGTGGTCCCCAAGCTGGAGTGTCCTTGGTGGGTCTTCTAACTTGGCTCTCTCGAAGCCCCGCTCCAGGGTAGAGACCATATTCTTTGTCTCTTACACTCTCTGAAGGTCAAAGTCAAGATGTCACATCCATGTTAGAATAGCCCAGAGAGCACAGGCTCTGGAATCTGTGAGCAGCTTTTGAGCCATGGGATTTTGGACAAGTTACTTTACTTCACCAGTCCAGGCCTTCATTTTCTCATTTGTATGAAGGGGATGAAAATAACACAAAGCTCAGAAGGCTGTGGAGGTACCAAGTGAGCAAATGCTGGTGACGTGTTGAACACCATGCCTGACGCACACGGATGCAGCTGCTCTTCTTGCCTGTTGGTGACTTGAATGGGCCAGCAGCGGCACACAGGATGGAATTTGCCATCAGAGAGCAGAAGCTCAGCCACTGAAAACAGGCCCTAGGCTGGGCACAGTGGCTCACGCCTGTAATCCCAGCACTTTAGGAGGCCAAGGCAGGCAGATCACTTGAGGCCAGGAATTCAAGACCTACGTGGCCAGCATGGTGAAACCCCATCTCTACTAAAAATACAAAGATTAGCCGGGTGTGGTGGTGCATGCCTGTAGTCCCAGCTACTCAGGAGGCTGAGGCAGGAGAATCGCTTGAGCCCAGGAGACGGAGGTTGCAGTGAGCCGAGATCACACCATTGCACTCCAGCCTGGGTGACAGAGGAAGACTCAAAAAAAGAAAACAGGCCCCAATCCAGCTGTTCAGGTGCACTAAATATTTTTTAAAAAATAGGCCCCCATCTAGCTATTCAAAAAATAAACGAGCCCTGATAGTTTAATATCACTTGTGAGCTGTGCCTTGTCTCTTACAGGACCCAGTTTTCCCTGACAAATGCAGGGTCGTTTTGGATCTGGAAACTGGCTTGCACTGTCGGGTCAATGGGACTGATGTTGCCAATTTCTTTTAGTTTGTTTCCACAGGTTGGACGGGTAAGTGCCCCCATTCTACTTTTTTCTAAAAGGTTTTTATTTTGCAGTTGTAAGAGTAAAATAAATTATTCTTCTAAAAAATCCATAAAAAGTTTACAAAAGTATAAAACAAGACGAGGTGCAGTGGCTCACATCTGTAATCCCAGCACTTTGGGAGGCCAAGGTGAGAGGATTGCTTGAATCCAGGAGTTCAA